ATTCAAAAAGGAATAATATGCTATCTTCTTCTTCTTCTTGGACATGACACAAAGGACGTGGGCGATCATAGCTCTCCACAACTTCCTATCCTCCATTTTCCTTAAAACTTTCTTACAGTTCCCATCTTTCTGTAGAACCACGTCTCTATTGGCTCAAGTTTTCTCTTCATGAAATTGTGTCAGCATTCACTGCTATATTAGACGATTAACATTACATAGCAGTTCATCACCATTTTCTTTGTTTCTAACGAAATTTTCCTGTTTCTTAATACTCTGTTTAGCTTTTGGAAGGCATTTTCTGATATTTCAATACTCCTTCGGCTTTCGGTGTCACATTTTCTGTTCGTCTGTCGAAAGACCTTCCAGCTATTTAAACTTCTGTGCTTGCTTGATTTTAACATCATAAATTGTAAGTCTTACCAGGGCCCACCGAAGATACACAGAACATAAAAGAATAAAAAATGGCACTAAAACGCGTTTACTGAGTGCTAGAGAAGAAGGTTGTGTAGCATTAAAACACCGGTTACAGTAGATCACCAAAGTTAAGCAACGTCGAGCCTGGTCAGTACCTAGATGGGTGACCGGTTGGGAATACCGGCTGGTGTAATGGATAAATGTTCGGATTTGTTAATCGGAACGTCGAGTTCCAATTTGTTATATTCACTTACGCGCAGATAGCCTTGGGAAAGATATGAATTCGCATATTCTTCCCCCCAGCTAAGGGTTAATTAGTAAGGCTTGTATCACTAAACCGTTATTATCTCAAAATGGAAGATATTCTTGCATTCTAAAAATATTTTCTGGATTTAAATAACTTGCAAATGGTTGATAAGTTGTAGAAAACGAATCAAGCACTTAGATGGAAATAAGTAAAATTCAATTTGTCGAGCGAACGAAATGAATACATTTCATAGACGATTCAAGTGTTTGGGAAAGGGCCTCAATAGTAAAGGCAATTAGTAGGAATCAAATCCACTATCAATGGGCTGAGAGATAAGCTTCCTGGGCCTTGTTCCACATTCGTAGGCTATAATTGTTGCATTCGTATGCCATTAGGTGTCAAAAAATGTGACCTTGTACCTGACTAAGCAAAGGAGAAATATTGAGTACCTGATAATGTAGAACATCTCTTTCTTTCATAACTTTTCCTCATCACTTTCAGAGTAATGACATCATTTTTAATATTTTCTTCATCTTTGCCATTTTATTTTCCTTATTTCATTTCTTTCTTTCTCATTCCCTTTTCTTTCTTTCTTTCTTTCTTTCTCATTCCTTTTTTTCTTTCTTTCTCATTCCTTTTTTTCTTTCTTTCTCATTCCTTTTTTTCTTTCTTTCTCATTCCTTTTTTTCTTTCTTTCTCATTCCTTTTTTTCTTTCTTTCTCATTCCCTTTTCTTTCTTTCTTTCTTTCTTTCTTTCTCATTCCCTTTTCTTTCTTTCTTTCTTTCTTTCTCATTCCCTTTTCTTTCTTTCTTTCTTTCTCATTCCCTTTTCTTTCTTTCTTTCTTTCTTTCTTTCTTTCTTTCTTTTTCTTTCTCATTCCCTTTTCTTTCTTTCTTTCTTTCTCATTCCCTTTTCATTCATTCTTTCTTTCTTTCTTTCTTTCTTTCTCATTCCCTTTTCTCTCTTTCTTTCTCATTCCCTTTTCTTTCTTTCTTTCTTTCTCATTCCCTTTTCTTTCTTTCTTTCTTTCTCATTCCCTTTTCTTTTTTCTTTCTTTCTTTCTTTCTTTCTTTCTTTCTTTCTTTCTCATTCCCTTTTTCTTTCTTTCTTTCTTTCTTTCTTTCTTTCTTTCTTTCTCATTCCCTTTTCTTTCTTTCTTTCTTTCTTTCTTTCTTTCTTTCTTTCTTTCTTTCTTTCTCATTCCCTTTTCTTTCTTTCTTTCTTTCTCGTTCCCTTTTCTTTCTTTCTTTCTTTCTTTCTTTCTCATTCCCTTTTCTTTCTTTCTTTCTTTCTTTCTTTCTTTCTTTCTTTCTTTCTTTCTTTCTTTCTTTCTTTCTTTCTTTCTCATTCCCTTTTCTTTCTTTCTTTCTTTCTCATTCCCTTTTCTTTCTTTCTTTCTTTCTTTCTTTCTTTCTTTCTTTTTTCTTTCTTTCTTTTAAACTGACTTTTTGGCTCTTAGTCCCCCATTTCTTTCTTTCTTTCTTTCTTTCTTTCTTTCTTTCTTTCTTTCTTTCTTTCTTTCTTTCTTTCTTTCTTTTTTCTTTCTTTCTTTTAAACTGACTTTTTGGCTCTTAGTCCCCCATTTCTTTCTTTCTTTCTTTCTTTCTTTCTTTCTTTTTTCTTTCTTTCTTTTAAACTGACTTTTTGGCTCTTAGTCCCCCATTTCTTTCTTTCTTTCTTTCTTTTCTTTCTTTCTTTTTTTTTCTTTCTTTCTTTTAAACTGACTTTTTGGCTCTTAGTCCCCCATTTCTTTCTTTCTTTCTTTCTTTCTTTCTTTCTTTCTTTCTTTTTTCTTTCTTTCTTTTAAACTGACTTTTTGGCTCTTAGTCCCCCATTTCTTTCTTTCTTTCTTTCTTTCTTTCTTTCTTTCTTTCTTTCTTTCTTTCTTTCTTTCTTTTTTCTTTCTTTCTTTTAAACTGACTTTTTGGCTCTTAGTCCCCCATTTCTTTCTTTCTTTCTTTCTTTCTTTCTTTCTTTCTTTCTTTCTTTCTTTCTTTCTTTGTCATGAGACCTGACTTCCATTCTCAGTCTTTAGGTTTTTCTTTGTTTCTTTCTTTCTTAGTCCTTATGTCTGACTTCCTTTCTTAGGATTCAGGTCTGTTCCTCTTTCTTTCTTTCTTTCTTTCTTTCTTTCTTTCTTTCTTTCTCATTTCAATTTGAAAGAAGGAAAAACATTTATTATTCTCAAGTTAAAAATATCTTCTTCTATATTCGTTTTATTCCTGTAAAAAAAAGATGATTTTCTCATACTGAATAGCAAGAATAAACAGCGATATTTAGGTTATAAAGAAAATCAAGCAAAACTAAACTAAAATAATTGGAATAAAGTTGATAAGCCTATGAGGCTGAGAAAGACAGAAAGGAAGATGAAAACGAAGAAATAATAAAAGGATTATGTGTAAAAAAAAAAACACAATAAAACAAATTCATAAATACAGCAAGAGAAAAAGAAAAATATAAAATGAAGAAACTAGCAAAGAAAAAATGCATGAATTTGTTAGTCCAGTGCACATGTCTTAAAAACCGGTATCTTACGTCATAGTGGCTGTTATTTCTTTGAATTGCGGCATATTTGTGCCGAAGGGCCAACCTCTCATTCAATTTGGAACCAAATTAAACACTTCTTTAACACCAGATGTAATACAAGAAAAGAAGGAAAAAGAAGAAAAAAAAAGAACCCTGAAACCTTTAATCAAAGTTTAAAACATATATATCTTCCTACCCTACCGCTATCAGTAAGAAACGAACACGTCAAGATATGTTAAATATCTAGAAATAGAAGAACATAAGACGCTACTTTTAAACCACATTTCATTCCTGAGAACACACGGACAATGATTTCTTGTCAGGGAAATAATTCACACTTGCTGATGCCATTGAATCAGTTTATAGGACCTTATTTACTTTTTTACTGATTTATTGTAAGATTTTTAAGAAAGAAAACTTTTAGGTTTTATTTTTAGACATTTTTTTACTATGTGAATTCTTTTCACTTGTATTTCTGTTAATTCCAAATTTTTATTTGGTTCTGAGACTAAATTTCTGAAGTGAAAGAAAAGAGTTTTTTTTCCTATTTTCACGTTTTTATAACCAAGAGAATCATGTACAAAAAATTATGAAAAAACAGTTATGTAGAAATTATCGAAAATACAGGTCACTACATTATCTATCTATCTATCTATCTATCTATCTATCTATCTATCTATCTATCTATCTATCTATTTGAATGTGCTTTTATCTATCTATCTATCTATCTATCTATCTATCTATCTATCTATCTATCTATTTGAATGTGCTCTTCATTCATCTATCCTATCTATCTATCTATCTATCTATCTATCTATCTATCTATCTATCTATTTGAATGTGCTCTTATCTATCTATCTATCTATCTATCTATCTATCTATCTATCTATTTGAATGTGCTCTTATCTATCTACCTATCTATCTATCTATCTATTTGAATGTGCTCTTATCTATCTATCTATCTATCTATCTATCTATCTATCTATCTATCTATCTGAATGTGCTCTTATCTATCTATCTATCTATCTATCTATTTGAATATGCTCTTATCTATCTATCTATCTATCTATCTATCTATCTATCTATCTATCTATCTATCTATTTATTTGAATGTGCTCTTATCTATCTATCTATCTATCTATCTATCTATCTATCTATCTATCTATCTATTTGAATCTTATCTATCTATCTATCTATCTATCTATCTATCTATCTATTTTAATGTGCTCTTATCTATCTATCTATCTATCTATCTATCTATCTATCTATCTATCTATCTATCTATCTATCTATCTAAACGTTATATTTGGTGAATAAACATTGAGTAGAAATTACTGTCGTTTTAAGCGTAATTTACATCTTCCGGCCTGAACATAATAAAGATTGTGTGCCTTTTAGCAGGGTTCGAATCTGCGATTCTTGGTAAATGAAAATTACATTGTTTAAAACACGGATGTCTACTCAAACACATAAATTTATATTAAGTAAGAATGTATTATTACAAAACATTTCTTAATTCTTTAAAAATATAGATATCCATATACCTATAACTGTTTATATCTCTCTACTTATCTAATGCATTAATACAGGTATTATTCTCATGCTTAACTAACTAAATTATTTCATTCATAAACCCATACACTTTCAATTCCTTGTAGGTGTTGATCTTTCTGTAAATATCAGATCATCTCTCCTTCCTTGTTTATCTTGCATGATAAATGTAGTTTGATGTGATACGCCATCCGGCCTGAACACAGAATATGAGAAAAATAAATGCTATACAAGATGGTCTGAGAATGAATAGGACATTGAATACACCAGGCAGTCAAGAACAATTCCAGAACCAACTTATTATGCAAGCTTTCTGGTCAGTTACTTGATAAAAGACTAACCAGTGGGTGAAATTATCGGCTATGCGACCACTTAGTGAGCAAGCTGCAACGTAGTTAGTAATTACTACAGCCGATGTCCACTTAAGAAGCAATAAGAGCAGGTAAATGTCATTATTGACTAAATTGTCGGGCCGTGGACTAAACGGTTAAGAATGAGTGAGCAGCCGTTGCATTTGTTACTATCTGATTCTTAATTGCATCAGGAATCGATTTCGTCGCCAAGTCTTCGAAAAAATTTGGCAGCCGAGGTTGAAATTTAATTAATGAATAACATTTCGGTCGACCGCTCAGCTGAATCTTCAAAATGGCCGCCGATAGAGATATCTATTCAAGATTTCATGTCCTATAAGTGTGTCGTATTTTGCAACAAGTCAACGACACGCTTTAGAATTTAGCATCTATCAGCTGTTTCTTGTCATTTATTCGAAATGTTTAAACTAATGGTTAATTTTATAAAATGAAAGGCGCTGTGTGTTAATTTGTATAAATATAAAATTTTGACAGTACAGGTTTTATTTGGATTTCA